TGACGCAAAAAAGGATTAGTGTCGGCAAGAAATCGATGCCAAAAACAAGAATCACGTTAGAGTATATACGCTAGCAACATGCTGACGCAAATAATACTATTTGCATTGGTATTTTGCTGGTGCAAATATTTTTCCACACGAGAAAATAAAACTTTTGTGTCAGCAAGTTACCGATGTAAATAATTGTTTTTCTTAAAAAAAATATTTATACTAATTTTTTCTCTTTACTACAAAATGAACCTAATAATTTTAGAAAAAAGTAATTCAAAAAAAAATAAAAGAAAAATAAATATAAAAAATTCTAATATTCATGAAAGAGAGAACATCCATCACAAATACATAACAACATTGATAGTTTTTATAAGTACAAAATACGTAAACTAACAAATAAAAGTATGAACATATAATCAAACAAAAAAAATACATATTCTTCTAATGCACCATCTACACCATCTATTTCTTCCCAAAGCATCATTTACTCTCTCTTCAACACCAGCAAAACACACAATTTTTGTTGTTATTTTAATCAATTTTACATCTAATATCTACAAAACCTAAGACATCAACACACACAAGGACAAAGACATGCTGCAGTACGAAAAATGAAAGAATGGTAATAAAGAAAAAAGGAAACATGACAACAAAATAAAAGACGAATGCACTGGACAAAAAGTCTTCAATGGCATATTAACACCTTCGTTGGTTTCATAGTCATCGGCAAGTAAAAACTATAGGAAATAATTCAAACTAATGATATACCCTTTTTTGTGATAACACATTATATCTACATTGTTGGTGAATTATATCAATTTAAGAGGAAATGATGTAAAAGTTGTTATAACTAAACAACTTTTCAATTTACGATTCAACTTTTCAACTTTTCAATTATATCTACATTGTTGGTGAATTCTTATGATTCTTAAGAATTCTATTGGATGTACTCGTCAAGTATTGGGTATTGCAAGATTTCATTTTGCAAATTGCAATGTCTTTGTAATTGACGATAAAATTTTATCTCAACTGTCGTATATCGAGTTTGCCATAAATTGCTAAGCTATGCACAGTGTATGTTAACAATCATTTCAGTCCATTAACTTTCAATTTTGTCCTTTAATGTTCAACATAACATTAATTTTTCCAGTCGATTATGGTTCTGTAGTTTTTTCTAAGAGGATTTCCACATTAAAATTAGTTTGTGTTGTGGTTGTTGGTTTATTGCTTTACTTTAACACATACAAACTTGCAACTCCACACACCAGGTGTTTTATGATGTGCTTGTTAGATTGATCTATCATATATTATCATCTTTGTGACTGTTGAATTGGTGGAAGGGAATTGGAGGAATAAGGATGGTGGATTTGCATTAAATTAAGATTGATTGTTGACTTGAGCATTCCTGCATTCATACATTCCAGAAAGTAATATTGTATTGCTTGCAGTATGTAATACCTTACAAAGTGACTCAATACATCTCCCTCCCTATAAAATATGACATATGATATTCTAAATGTACCCCAAAACATCTTGTTTATTACTGATTAGTTCTCATAATTATTCTTATATAACTCCAAATTTGTTTAAAATGAGCATGAACGGGCTACTACTTTCGCATATTTTGGCAGGAATAATATTTGATTATCTGCGATCGAGGATAAATCATTGCTCCCGAATTCTCTACAACAAGTGTTATCTGAAGCAAAGGAGGCTTTAAAGGCAAACTCAAGACTCCATTTTATAATAGCACTAAGTTATGGTGGAAGATATGACATACTACAAGCTTGCAAAAGCGTTACTAGCAAAGTGAAGGATGGTCTCATTCAATTGGAAGACATCAACCAGAGCATATTAGAAGAACTAGAAACCAAGTGTGCCAAATTCCCCAACCCTGATTTACTTATACAAACAAGTGGTGAACTTAGACTCAGCAACTTCATGTTGTGGCAAGTGCACTATACTGAATTTTACTTTGTTGACAAATGTTTCCCGGATTTTGAGGAAGCAGACTTTATAGAGGTCTTGAACTCACATTAGAAATGAAACCGACGGTTTGGTGGAAGATAAGCGTCAGTTCAGCCTTGATCTACGAGCATTCATCTTCATAGCCCTTTGCTGGTCGAGATCGAGTTCCTTCCTTATTGAGAATTTATATGGCTTTGTTAAACGTAATTCTAGAAGGGCATAACCCCAATAAATAAATAAATAAATAAACAATTCTTGGCAGTTCAAGTAAAAATCTACCATCTATTTGGTTTTCTCTGATTCTTGGTAATTTAGCTGAAAAACCCATATTAGTATTGTAAGCCCATGTTGAAATTTAATTTAGATTTAGCTAGTTCTTTTTTTATTATTATTATTTATATGTATTGTTGCCTTATCACCAAGAAAAATAAATTTTTAGGGTTTGAAATGTTTAGAGCTATATTAATTAAACCTCTGTTTGGTAACGCTTTTAAAATTTATATTATTATTTTATTTTTATTTTATTTTTGAAAGTTGCGTTTGTTTGATATTTTTGCTTTTTTATGAACTTTTCTGTTTGGATTTGCTACATTCTTCCAATCTAGCTCTTAATTGCATCTATAATAGTACAACTATGAAAATAGGCTATTTATATGTCAACTATGTATTGCGATAATGTTTTTTTAATTGAGATATTCCTATGTACTTCTTTAACATATATAGTTGTTTTTTCTAATCTTTTTTGTTTGGATTTACTCCCTTCTTCCAATTTTAATCGCCATGGTGCACATAAAGCTTAGAAAAGCCAGACAAAGTTAGAGAGACACCCTATTTTCGTGGTGCCGCAATGAACCAAATGGATAAATTTTGGATCTAATCTTTAAGAACCCAACTTAGATAGTATTACAAATGGGTTTATATATAAATATTATTATACATCCGCAAATAGACAATTAGAAAATAATAATGAAGCATGCTTCCTACTTTTGAAACATTTTCTTAAAAAGTACTTAAAAAAAGTTACCAGTCAGTCAACAAGCTAGTGTATGTGCATGTACTCAGATAGCTTATGATAGTAAGATTCATATACTTTGTGGTGCTAGCCATAGGGTCATAAGCATGCGTCATAATTATTCACACAATTTCTGACACAATTTGAAGTGATATAAACTTACAAAAAATACGTCATGTTACTGTCAATTATAAATAACTCATTTTTGAGATAACAAACTCATTTAATTAGTACAATCTGTTATAGAATTAGATGATTTTTTATTTGGTTTTCTTGGAATTGGGATCGGGTGGATTCTTTACTTAAGAGAGACTTATGTGTAAAGGGTTTGGTCAAGAAAAAAAGAGTCCTAGCCTAAGGGTTTCTTGTTTAGGGACTATTCATGTCAAGCGGTACGAAATATTATGAACCAGACACAACATGACACAACACAATTGTCACTTAATAAAAAATCTTTGGGGGTGGGGGTGGGTGAGTGTGTGTTGGGGGTTGTGTTTGGGTGTGTGTATTAGGTTATGAATAATAATTTTAGGACTCAGATTTAATACATCGATTTAATGATATGTCAAGTAATATAATCATAATAAAAAAAATCTTACAATTTAAATAGTTGCAATGTTTTATTGGACCATGTATATCACCCACCATAATTGACTAGGTGCTCTTCTATTCAGAGTCGATCCTATATGAACAAATGTTGATAATATGTTCTTATGTAAAATTGAAAACAATATATTGGATTACGAGCAACTTCAATTCACTCTCTATTTCCTTTTTTTTTAGCTATTTTAGCTAGCTAAACACAAAAAAAAAATCTCTAACCCACTCTTTTTTTTTCATTTCACCAAAATGGCTCTCCTAATGCGGAGAGTCATTCAACCTCTCTAAACTCTCTCTCTACCCCTTTCTCTCTCTATCTCTCCCTATATATATGTTACAATTCCCTTTAAATTAGTAGAAATTAGTGAAAGTTAGATGAAGTAGATAGCTAAAAATAAATACCGTAGTTAGAGTGAACTTGTAAAAGTGACTCTTTAAAATAGAGAATGTAATATTTAAATATCTTTGTGTTGATTTAATTTATGGCACTAATAACCCCATATCTGAGGACATGCACATACACTGGCTTGTTTATTAACTGGTAACTTCTTTTAAGTACTTTTTAAGGAAAGTGTTTCAAAAGTAGCAAGCATGCTTCATTATTATTGTATAATTGTCTATTTGCATTTTAATATGTATATATTTACCCATCTGTGCTACTATCAAAGTTGGGTTCTTAAATATTAGATCCAAAATTTATCCATTGGATGCATTGCAACACCATGAAAATAGGGTGCCTCTCTAACCACCGGCTTTTGTCTGGCTTTTCTAAGCTTATGTTCACCATGGTGATTAAAATTGGAAGAAGGGAGTAAATCCAAGCAAAAAAGATTAAAAACAACAACTATATATGTCGAAGAAGTGCATAGGAATACCTCCATGAAAAAAACATTATCACAATACATAATTGATATGAATAGTCTATTTTCATAGGTGTACTATTAAGAGGTAGATTGGAAGAATGTAGCAAATCTAAAAAAAAAAATAATAAAAAAGCAAAAATATCAAACAAACGCAACTTTCAAAAAAATAAAAATAAAAATGAAATAATAATATAATTTTAAAATCGTTACCAAATAGAGGTTTAATATAGCTCTAAACATTTCAAGCTCTAAAAATTTGTTTTTCTTGGTGATGAGGCAACAGTATATATACATAGAAAAAAAGAACCATCTAAATCCAAATTAAATTCCATCATGAGCTTACAAGACTAATATGGGTTTTTCAGCTAAATTACCTAGAATCAGAGAAAACCAAACAGATGACAGATTTTTACTTGAATAACCAAGAGTCATTTTTTTATTGTGGTAACACCCTTCTAGAATTGCGTTTAACAAAGCCACATGGATTTTCAATAAGGGAGGAATTCGACCTCAACCAAAAAAGGGTAATGGAGATGAATGCTAGTAGATCAAGGCTGAGCTGAAGCTTATCTCCCACCAAACCGTCTGTCTCGTTTCTGATATGAGTTCAAGGCCTCTATAAAATCTGCTTCCTCAAAATCAGGGAAACATTTGTTAGCAAAGTAAAATTCAGTGAAGTGCACTTGCCACAACATGAAGTTGCTGAGTCTAAGTTCGCCACTGGTTCGTATATGTAAATCAGGGTTGGGGAACTTGGTACACTTGGTTTCTAGTTCTTGTTCAAATATGCTCTGGTCGATGTCTTCCAATTGAATGAGACCATCCTTCACTTTGCTAGCAACACTTTTGCAAGCTTGCAGTATGTCATATCTTCCACCATAACTTAGTCCTATTATAAAATGGAGTCGTGTGTTTGCCTTTAAAGCCTCCTCTGCTTCAGATATCACTTGTTGTAGCGAATTCGGGAGCATCGATTTGTCCCCGATCACAGATAATCGAACATTATTCCTGCCAAAATATGAGAAAATTGTAGCCCGTCCATGCTCATTTTTAAACAAATTTGAAGCTATATAAGGATAATTATGAGAACAAGTCAGTAATAAACAAGATGTTTTGGGGTACATTTAGAATATCATATGTCATATTTTACAATTTATATGGAGTGAGATGTATTGAATCGCTTTGGAAGGGCACTTCCCAAATATATTTATGTATCTTCTGTTTCTAATTTTAATTGTGGGATTTTGAATTGTTAATTTCAGAATTAACCAATTACATTGTAACATGTACCCCTAAATAACCACCCCCAACTTCAACAAACTAATTATCATTTATTTGAAAAATTGCATTTGCTACACTAAAACTTGTTATAGCTAGCTGTGTGTCTATATATATATATAAAACAAACAAACTAGGAGGAGAAGACTTGGGAAATTTTTCTTTCTTATTTTTGAAATTGTTAGTGAGAAGTGTGTTTGATTGTCTCTGACATAATTATACAAAAGAAATTATCCTAAACACCACCTAGAGGAGTGGATGAATAGATCTTTTATACTTCTTGCGGAAATCTTAGCCCAATTAGACGTACTTACCACAATTACCAATTGATTAATGAAATTATGTTCAATGAACCCTTATGTTCAAGTGGCAGCTCCCAAGCAACTGTCTACTTGAGTAGCTTTAATGTTTACTAAGATGCATCTTTAGCTGTTAACCCATCTAAACATTTTTGTCTTATTTGTTGGTAAAACCCATGGGCTGCACCTCCTACAGATTTGTTTTTCCTTTTTTGGCTCATGTGAGCCTGGAAGGGATACGCCCTTACATGTTTTGTAACTAGTTTACTCCAAGCAATACAATATTACTTTCTGGAATGTATGAATGCTCAAGTCAACAATCAATTTTAATTTAATGCAAATCCACCATCCTTATTCCTCCAGTTCCCTTACACCAATTCAACAGCCACAAAGATGATAATATATAATAAACCAACAACCACAACACAAACTAACTTTAATGTGTAAATCATCTTGGAAAAACTATAAAACCGTAATCGATTGGAAAAATTAATGTTATGTTGAACATTAAAGGACAAAATTGAAAGTTAATGGACAGAAATAATTGTCAACATACACTATGCAAACCTTAGCAACTTCTGGCAAACTCGATATATGACAGTTGAGATAAAATTGTATTGTCAACCACAAAGACATTGCTATTTGCAAAATGAAATCCTGGAATACCCAATACTTGATGAGTCCAATAAAATTCTTAAGAATCATAAGAAGTAGCTAGCTAATAGTAAATTGAAAAGTTGTTTAGTTATAACAACTTGTAAATCATTACCCCTTAAATTTATATAATTCACCAACAATGTATATAAAATGTGTTATCACAAAAAGGGTATATCACTAGTTTGAATTATTTCCTTTAGCTTTTACTTGGCAATGACTATGAAACCAACGAAGGTGTTAATATGCCATTGAAGGCTATCAACGACATTCTTATTTTTTATTATCATTTTTTTGTTGTCATGTTTCCTTTATTCTTTAATACCATTCTTTCATTTTCATATTGCAGCATGTCTTTGTCCTTGTGCGTGTTGATGTCTTAGACTTTGTTGATGTTAGATGTATAATTGATTAAAATAACAAAAAAAATTGTGTGTTTTGCAAGAGTTGAGGAGAGAGAGTAGATGATGCTTTGGGAAGAAGTAGATGGTGCATTAGAAGAATATGTATTTTCTTGGTTTGATTATATGTTCATACTTTTATTTGTTAGTTTATGTATATTGTACTTATAAAAACTACGAATGTTGTTATGTATTTTTTATGGATGTTCTCTCTTTTATAAATATTAGAATTTTTTTTATATTTATTTTGTTTTGTGAATTACTTTTTTCTAAAATTAAGTTCATTTTGTAATAAAGAGAAAAAATTAGTATTAATTTTTTTTAAGAAAAAGATTACTTTCGCCGGTGCCAATGCAAAAGTGTCATTTTCTCATGTGGAAAAAATATTTGCACCAGCAAAATACCAATACAAGTAGTATTATTTGCATCAGCAAGTTGCTAGCGCAAATACTTTAATGCAATTCTTATTTTTTGCGTCGATTTGTTGTCGATGCTAATACTGTTTGTGTCAGATATTACTTCTTACATCATGGCTTTTTAGCCTCACCATTGTCGATGCAAAACGTTTGTTTGACGATGCAAATTAGTTGCATCAATAGGCCGTACTTTTTGTGTCGGCTTGACTTTATTTCTTGTAGTGTTTCTTATGAGATTTGCATACGAATTTGAACAAAGATAGAGAATCGAAAGGCAACTCACAATTTGAAAACTTGGTTATTTTAATTGATAGTCAATAATTTATGCTTTACTTTTACTGGGAAGGAGAAGGCTTCCAACTAGACCACTTAGAATATGCAATTCAATCCTTTTGGATGCATATAAAATTTTTATGACAAATCTGAGAATAATCTATCTTCGAAAGTAGGCTCGTGAAGTTTTCATCCATTGCTTTGAGTTAATATCTCTAGAGAACAAAACAAACTACAACATTACACCAAATAAAACATATGTATATATATGCATTCAGGCAATCACACTGAAGAAAATTTGAAAATTTTATATAACTCTGTTCAAAAGTACCTCATCCACTTCTCCATAGTAACTGATTTTATCCACATTTCACTCCAGTTCATAAAACTGTCAACATCCTCCTGCAGCCGTATCAAACTTATTGTTAAGAAACGTAAGATTTTTCTAGTTATCATAAAAGAATAAGTAATTAATTAACAAATTCAAAAGAAATTAAAAACTAATGACACTTTTTGCCATAAAATATTTTGAAGTATTCACATTCTCCTCTTATAGATTAAAAGCCTAACAAAACACCATGATTTTTTTATTAGGTATCAATGTGCCCCACAAAGCAAGGTGTTGTTTGCTTGTTCATCTTTTTGTACAAAAATGGCAAGTACATAAAAAGAATTGGTTTTTTGGGAGATATTCTGCCACTTAAATTTTTTTAGAAGGCAATAGAAGTTTTTAAAAGTTTTTTGAGGCAATAAAATAAAATTTTAAGATTAAATGCTACTTTTATTCCCCTAAAGCTATAAATTCTAGTGCGCTTGTACAATCGAAATTTGCAATGTTAAAAAATAAGGGGGACGGGAAAGATTAGAAACAAAAGAACATATAAAAAAGAAGGAATGGAGAAGTCATGAACATATTAAATTTCTTCCTTGATGGTAATTTTCTCATGTGTATGCTTCAAAAAAGAAGGAATGGTGAAGAGGAAGGGAGTACAAGCTGCACAGTTGGGTTGATTACTTTAAAAAGTCTGAAAATACCAAGAGTCATACAAAACAAATTTAATTTCATTTGAAATATATAGGGAGAATTATAATCACACATACTGTAGTTTTTCACTTAATCACTTAAATTCTCTGACATTTACAATATTACTCACAGATCTCCTAAAATTTGTACGCGCATAATACTTAAATGTCCGTCAGTATATCCATTAATAAATTACATTCATACTCCCTGAAGTTTGTAGGTGTATAATACTTAAGTCTCTCAAGTTTAAAATGTTATACTCAGACTAAAAATATTCCAATCCAAGATAAAATATCAAATATTATAAATTTTACAAGAAAAATTTGTAATTAATATACAATTATTTTATCTATTGGAATAAAACTAAAAAATCAAATAAGGGATCTAAGTCATTCATAATAGAACATGAATTTTACAACAAATATTCATATTCTATTATGTCATTTATTGAAATAAAATCAAAAATAAAAATTTATTTTTTTCTTAAAAAAAAATAATTAATATAAAATTATATAATCTATTAAAATAAAACTAAAAAATCGAACAATGAGTCAAATTGTAATAGACACAATATCTTCTAATTTTAATTGGGGTAATTTGGCAATTTAATTTGATCATTTAAATGACCAAATTAAATTCGAATATATAGTATAATTGTATAATAATTATGATTTTTTAAGAAAAAAATTACATTTTTATTTTTGATTTTATTTTAATAAATGTCGTAATAGAGCATGATTTTTTGCTATAAAATTTAAAATATTTGATATTCTATCTTTGATTTGAGTATTTTTAATCTAAGTAGTACATTTTAAACTTGCGGGGTCTAAATATTACACACCTACTACCTTTAGCGGTCCGAGTGTGATTTACTAACGGACATTGACGATAATATATATATAGATGGCTTTGGATAATTTGCACTGAATTCATAACAAATCATATTTTTTTCTTGAATAAGAAGTGCTTTAGTTTATAAAAAATTCGTTAGCTTTCTCCAACATAAATTCGTTGGTTGATCTTGAATTTCTAATACTAATATAAGCATGTTTGAGATATTTAAAATGCATATACATGATAAAAGCAAACACCTACAAATATACATACGTTATATGAAAGTAACAAAAAAAAATACTATTAATATTTTTTTTTTTTTTTTTTTAAATGTGCAGTATAAATGAAAGTAACCGTTTGTGATCGAAGAAGCAACAATGACACTGACTTTGGAACGACTCCAATTCTCGGTAGAAAATGCATAAAATGTGAGAACTGGAACTCCCCATTTGCAACAGAGTCGAATGAATTTCGCCATTCTTCGTCCAAGGGCCTTATAACCCTCGTCTATCGGTAAACCCCTCTTCCGGGCCCACCTCCTGTGGCCATCCGGAGTCACGGAGACATGTTTCGGCATTAGTTCTAGCCGGAGGCCTGCCGGCAATTCCACTTCTGCCGGTCTTTTTTTTCCTACTTCACCTTCTTCTTCTTCTTCTTCTTCTTCTTCTTCTTGTGGTGGTGGTACTATTAATGCTCCATTCACAAGAAGCTTGCGAAATCTGGGAGAAGAAATTGAAGGGCCAAAGTTCCATCTGATTCTTCTATTTCTTTTTGCTAGGTCACGGTCACTGGTAACAGAAGAAAATGATTTGTTTTGGAGATGATGGGAAAGAGTAGTAGTGTTCTTATGAGTAGGAACAACTGGGAATCGCATGGACAGCATTTTGCAACTTTATGCCTGTCTTTTTGGGTTAATTAGTATTAGTATTACTACCTCCTCCTCTGTTGATCCACTTGTATTTATAGTCACGGAACTCGGCCAGACGACGTCGTCTTAATGGGTCTTAATGGATATGATTAGGATGGTAATTTGTGATAAAACACAAAAATTCGACTAAAAATTAGTGGCATAGGGTTGACTATTTCTTCGCAAGAACTTATGTATAACACGACTCGTTAACCTGAATAATAAATGAGTTGGGTTAGTATCAAACACAACAACACGAAATTGACACAATTAACACGTTTAAGTAGTATTACACCAATAAAATGTTAATTTTTTATTGTATGTTATCAAGTAATGACTTAATTCTTGTACCAAAAAAACACCTTTACATTTATTAATTAAATTTTTAGTTTATAAAAAATGTATGTTCATAGCTTCAATTAACTGATAATATTAAATTTTTTATTTACGGGTTGTATGGTCAACACGAACACGACGCAAAAATAAGTCAACACGACAAGACACCATTTGTTAAATGGATTGAGTTAAGCTAAACTAATGCTTGACATGAATCCAAAATGACTCAATATGAACACGACCCAACATAATACAATTATCACCTCTAGGTATGACATTGTTTTTTAAAGTACAAAGTTATTAATTAAATATTTATATTAAATTAATAGTAAAATTAATTTACTTAATTCTTTTCATAGCATAATCAATTTAAAACAAGAATTTATCAATTTTAATATTTGAAAACTTCTTTTTATAAAAGTATTGTTGCAAATATATTGTTGGCATATAAAAAATTGATTTAGTTAGAGTACGTTTGGTAACGTTTTTGTTTTTATGTTTTTTTGTGATAAAAATTAAAAATATAAAATATGTTTGATAGTCATTTATATTTAAAAAATTATAAAAATAAAAATAAAAATAAAAATAAAAAATATGTTTAGTATTGTAGTAGTAATTTTATAATTCATTGTGGTTATTTTGATTCATTTTTCAGTAATGCTATATTGACCAAATTTTAAAATTAAATTTGGAGCTCAAATGATATGACAACTGAGTTGGAATACATTCTTAGTCATATTATCGATATAGACTCTGCTCTTGAGGTATGGAATTTTCTTGAACAAAGTTTTGCATCTAGTTCTGAAGAAAGGGAGTTTAATCTGTATCATGATCTCCAAAGGATTCGCAAAGAAAACCATGAGTTTGTAACTGAATTTTTGGCTAGATTCAAGCAGATTTGTGATGAGCTAGCTACCATCAAGAAAAATTTAACTGATTCTGATAAAGTTATGTGGGCTGTGAATGGACTTGGATCAAAGTTTGAGCCTCTTATCAATGCCATTACGGCAAAACCTCCTTTTCCCTCTTATTCTCAGTTCATTCAGTCATTGACAGGATATGAAAACAAGGAACAAACTTTTTCCTGGGAAGGAAGAGATAAATGATTTTCAGGCCTTTGTTGCACAAAAAAACAAAATTGGACAAGAACCAAATTCTGATAGACAGAGATATAAAGGAAAAAATTTCTCCTTCAATTCAAGGGGTCGTGGTTTCATCCAGTCACCACAAAACAGAAATCAAGGAGGTAAATTCTCAACTCAACAGTCTAGTGATTCCAGAATGAATTCCAACCATGGTCAATCTCAGCCAAATGAATGCCAAATTTGTGGCAAGACAAATCATGCAACATCAAACTGTTACAGAATTCCTTGCCAAATTTGTAGCAAACAAGGTCATAATGCCTTAAATTGTTACAATTGATATAATCATGCCTTTCAAACTGAAGATATTCTACAAGCTCTAGCTGCAATGCAAGTATCTAATCCTCATGATCCAGAGTGGATACCAAACACTGGAGCAACTTCTCACATGACTGGTGATCCAAGTATACTAAAAAATCTTCAACCTTATCTCGGGCATGATTTAGTAATAATAGGTAACGGAGTAAAGCTTCCAATTACTCATGTTGGTTCTTCTGATATATCCACAAATTTTGGAAAGCTAAGAGTTGATGATGTTCTTTTGGTTCCAAGTCTTACCAAAAATCTATTATCTATTGGATAGCTTATTAATGAATTTTCCTGTATTTTTGAATTCTCTTCAAATGGTTTTGTTATAAAGGAAACAGACGGGGAAGCCACTGACAATTCGAACTAAGGATGGAGGGTTATATGCATTAAGGCATTGCCAAAAGGCCTTTTATTCATTTCGACAGAGGAAAACATCTTAAGAGATTTGGCATCAACGACTTGGGCATCCAAATAAAAATATTTTGTCTTATCTTTCTAGCCAAAATAAGATTCATGTATCTAATTGGAACAATAAATTTGATATTTGTGACAGTTGTCAACTTGGTAAGAGTTGCAAACTTCCTTTCAACAAAGCTAGTGTGAGATCTTCTTTACCTTTTGACAAGGTTCATTGTGATTTATGGAGACCAGCCCCTTTAAATTCAATGCAAAATTTTAGGTATTATGCCTTGTTTGTGGATGATTAAACAAGATTTGTGTGGCTTTATCCATTGAAATACAAGTCAGATTTCTTTAATTGCTTCAAGGAGTTCAATGCCATGGTACAAACACAATTCAACAAGCAAATAAAACTCTTTCAGTGTGATGGTGATGGTGATGGTGATGGTGAATTTAGAGACAATGAATTTTTACTTGCTTTATCAGCCCATGGAATGCTTATCTTGTCCATCAACGCCTGAACAAAATGGTGTTGCAAAGCGCAAACACCGACATATCCGTGAGTTGGGTATGGCTATGCTTTTTCATTCTGGCTTGAGCAAATGTTTATGGGTTGAAGCTTTTTCCACTGCTACTTTTGTGATAAATCAGTTACCGTCCACTTCTATTAAAATGGATAATCTATTTCATCTACTTTTCAAAAGGGATCCTAATTATACTTCCTTACGAGCCTTCGGTTGCAGATGCTACCCCTATCTTAAGGACTACGGTAAAAATAAGTTTTCTGAGAAAACACTACCTTGTGTTTTCATTGGTTACAGTGCTATTCACAAAGGATATCGTTGCCTCCATTCTCAAACTGGCAGAATCTATATCTCCCGTCATGTGGTTTTTAATGATTATGCTTTCCAATGGCTCCTCAAACTACAATTACTGCACCTCCAATTGATCCATCTGCTCATCTTAGCACTTTTCATGAATGGCTTTCTCCATATCAGCCTACTCCAAGTCCTTCTTTTGCCAACCAGTACACTGCTTCAACTAATTCTCCATCACAGGGAAGTAATGATTCTCTATCACAGGTTCATCCTTCCACTTGTTCTCAAGCAGCAGATCCTATGTGTTCCTCTTCTCAACAACCTATTTCCACTCCCACCTCACAAGTCTTATCACTGACAGACACATCCACCACTCCTTGTTCCTCTCAACTAGAAGCTTCACCTGACGCTCCAATTATTGAGGGAAATTCTACTTTACTCTCTTCCCATACAAATTCATCGACCTCTCTACCTCTGCACCAAGGAAAATTATATGTTGATCTTGGTCCTCTCCCTACTTCCACTTTTCCAAGTTTCCAACATAATACTCACCCTATGCGCACTAGAGGAAAAGCAAAAGTAGACCTTCTTCATGTCCAAACTCCACCATCATCTACTGATCTGCCAAAAGAACCCAAGACTGTCAAAGCAGCCTTTGAGGATCCTAGATGGTCTGCTGCTATGCGTGATGAATTACAGGCACAGTCAAATAATCACACATGGACTCTTGTTCCTCGTTGTCCTCACATGAACATTGCAGGTTGCAAATGGATATTCAAAACTAAGCTACATGCTGATGGGACTCTTGATCGCTTAAAGGCTTGCTTGGTTGCAAAAGGGTTTCACCAAAATTCCCACATTGATTTTGTTGACACATATAGCCCAGTTGTTCGCCCTCAATCTATTCATATTGTTCTCACCATCGCTCTTTCCCCATAATTGGGAAATTCGACAAATAGATGTGAAGAACACCTTTTTACATGGGTATTTGAAAGACTATGTTCATATGGATCAAACACCAGGGTTCATTGATCAATCTTCTCCAAATCATGTGTGTCAACTATCACGAGCACTTTATGGTCTTAAGCAAGCACCACGTGCTTGGTTTGATCGCTTTAGTCAATTTCTTATCTCTTTGGGCTTTGTCTGCTCACAACCTGATCCTTCTCTATTTTCTCTACATACTGCTCAAGGAATTCTCATCCTTTTACTCTATGTCGATGATACTATTGTTACTGGTGATACTCCATCCTTACTTCATACATTTCTTGCTCGCATTCAAGCAACCTTTGCCATCAAGGACTTAGGTTTTATTCACTATTTCCTTGGTATTGAAGCAATACAAACTCCTTATGGTCTCTTACTCTCTCAACACAAATATGTTCAAGAAATCCTGAGTAGAGCAAATATGGAAAATTGTAAACCCATATCCACTCCCTTACCTACCAAAATTGATCATCCTAATGATATTCTAACTGATCCTCAACAGTTTCGTAGTCTTGTTGGAGCACTACAGTACCTCACCTTGACTCGGTCGGATCTCACCTATTCAATTAACCTTGTGAGTCAATACATGCACATGCCCACTGTCGTTCATCTTGCTTTAGTAAAACGGATATTGCGCTATATTCAAGGAACTTCACATTTTGGTCTTCATTTGCTGAAACAAAATGTTCTTGAATTGTATGCCTTCTCAAATGCTGACTGGGCTGGTTGCCCATTAACCAGACGTTCCACAAGTGGTTATGCTATCTTCCTTGGTTCTAATCTCGTATCCTGGGGTGCAAAGAAGCAACCTACTGTTGCCAAATCTAGCACTAAAGCAGAATATCGTGCCCTCGCTGTCACTACTGCTGAAATCACTTGGGTTACATATATTCTTCGTGCTCTAAATATCTATCTCCCACGTCCAGCTACATTATTTGGTGATAATTTAAGTGCACTTCATTTATCCATTAATCCAGTTTTCCAT